GAAACCTTTTGTTTAGAACTAATTAGTATAAATGCATTTTATATGTTTTTTAACTTGTTTTAACTGATGTAAGCCGCCCCGAGTAGACGTTGTCTAGAGGGGCAGGGTAAAAATCGAATAAATAAAGAAAATAAAGAAAATAAAGAAAAGCTAGCTGGAGTAGGGGTGGCTTTTACTGAGAGGGTCATATTTTTCTTTGTCAAGCTATATATACAGTACATGGTTTACTGCTTGACAGGAGATTATGAAGCTACATGTGTGTTTCCCTTATTTACTCAGAGAAGTCTGCTTGCTTTAGTTTAGGATTTGAGTGCATGGAGGACAAAGGAGCCAGCACCCTCAGGATATGAGAGGATTAGCAGCATCCAAAGAGAGCAGGCCCAAATTGAAAGGCCTTCGTGAAACTTGCTGATCTGTTTTGAGACAGCAGGTCAACATTCCAGTCAAACTTTGGCTGTAACTTGTGTTTACCTGAGACTGTGAATGCTGTTCTTGCCATTTGGTGCTAACTCCCAAAGGGGCATCTCCCCACAGCAAACAGCCCTGCACCAACCCTGCAATTAGGCCTAATTGTCAAGGACAGATCCAGCGAGAAGCTCAATTAGAAGTCGACGCGCAAACTAAGTTTGAAATGAACTTTGCCAAGTAGATGATTAACAGGTATGGCAGAACTGAGAGATGCTCTTCACGCCCTCCCGTGGACACAGCTGCTGCATCTCACCCATTTCTGCGTAATAATAGAAACAGGTAACTGTGCCAGCTGGTGCCAGCAAGGGGGCACAGAGGCACCGAGCACAGCGCTAGCCTATGCAGAAAGGAAAAAAAGTTTCAAACTTCTCCTTGGCTTCGCTTGATTTCTCACACTGTGCTTTTTTGCTCAAAAGAGCAGAAAATTATTCAAAGCTTTCCCCTCGCACACCCCAAATCTAGCCCCTTCCGACAGCTCTCAGCTTCTTTTATTCTGTACAGAACATTCATTGTGAATGCAAGAGAGAGCAAAATGGAGGTCTGAGTTGTAATCAGAGAGGAAATGTGGGCCTCGTTCATTTTACAGAGGAGATACTGCTTTAACAGATGTGCAGTTACATAGTTTTTAGACATGTTGTATTGGATTTTTGATGGGGAGGGGTGGCTACCTCCCTGCATATACTTCTCTATATCTGAGATGTGTTGAGCCAGCCCTGGTATCTTTCAAGCTGCTCCTTGTTCATTTGAGTGGAGCCCCACACACCTGTCCCAAGTCCAGTTCTGTCCTACCAGAGCTATCATCAAACCAGGGGAGAAAGCAAGCCCCTAGCTTCCACTTAAGAGCTTATATTAGCCGTGACCTTTGATCCAAGCAGGTGGGGAGGAATGCCCAATCTCAAAATGGAATGGGGGCACTGACAGAGCCCCTTGCTTAGTTTCCAGTCATGGGCTATATAGTGCATGAAACTGGAATGTCTCAGAAGTCACTTGTGCTGGCATCTTACCAGATGATCATAAAGAAGCCTCTGGATGTGGGATGGTGATGCAGAATCCAGATGTTTGCATGGGCCACTCCAGAATCAATTAAAACCACAGGGGGCTGCACTGTGAGATTTAGTATACACTCTGAATCCGGTTTCTATTAAAAGATTCACTATCACCCCCACCCCAGGACACACTAAATACCAGATATTGTAAAAGTTCATTTCTTTGGACTACAATTTCAGAATCTGGATTCTAAGAACTGTAGCACAAAACAGTCACTTTCCCTGATTCTGCTAAATATGGCATCAGAGCGGAACAAATAAAGTTCATTGTTTCTGAAAATATACATTCTTGTAAAAGATCTAATCTCTTCTTCCTGTGTCTTATTTGTTTTTTCTTTCTCTTAGACTGCCTATCTCCATATCTGTTGGTGAGCTTAGAAATGATTAATTACTAATAACAAGTTACTTATACCTAATTCCTTTTCATGGCAACTGAGGCATAACTAAGTTAAATTACTATTGCAGTATAATGAGGATTACCTAATGACTCGGGTGTAGTTGTAACTGTGTTCAATTACATTACAGTTACAAGGCATTTGTGGTCTTTGGTTTCTTTTGGGCTGCAAGCGGCTAACTTACAGAAGTCTGATGTTTCTAAAAACACTAACTAAAAAGTAACTAATAGTAGCTCATTACTTTTATGTGACTTTACACTGGAATTGTATCTAGTTATTTTTAGTAAAGTAACTTTTCACTCTGGAGCATCATGATGTTAAAAACAAGCACATCTAAATATGTTGTTCAGTTATATTGTCTACCCATCACATGTTGTACAAACTTCCCATCCCAGCTGAAATAGTGAATAATAGAACTGACATATAGTTTATTGGGGCCAGAAATTTGGAAATTTTAAATTTTTGAGAGCAGCTCTAATAATCTCCAGCATATTTTTTGAGAATTCTAGAAACTTCAGTCTATCTTTCTCCAAGTTTTAAGTTTATTCATATACTTTTCACCTCTGTTAATTTTAGTTTTTTTCTTTACCTAGTGATCACTCCCACTCATTGAGCTCCCATCATCATTTTTTCTGTTTCTGTGAGAGGTTTTTGGCCAAAATAGAAACAATTCAGTTCACAGGTGCTGCATAATGCTGAAATACACTTGTCATATGTACCGTCTTATTTGTGCATAATGTAAGGACACCCACTTACTTGAACAGTTAATCTTGTGTAATAATAATTTAAACCAGAGATGTGGGACAGGTTGTTGGACTCCAGATGTTGTTGGACTCCATGTCCCATCAGCCCCAGGCATCCTGGCTCACGGTAAGGGACTTTTGGAGTTATAGGCTGAAATTCTGTTCTGTAAATTATGCTGTATATAGCTGATAGTGCCGGAAAGACTGCTGATTTTTCAGAAATAAAATATTCCAAATCTCCTTTCCCCAAAAAAGGTCCAAAGGCTCCTGTGGGATCCTTTACATTGTCGGGGAGCCACTGGGCACTGTGGGACTGGGGGAAGGAGGTCTTTAATCACCAAAACTCAATGCTAGCAAGACACTTTTACCACCAGCAGCCATTTTCAATATTTAAAGACTTCCCCCCTCCTACCTGCAGCTCTGGACCATGCTAATTGTAATCTTTCCTAGAGAAAATTAATCCTGTCAATATTTCTTTCTCCTCTGCTGCGTTTTAATTTCTCCATTCCCCACCTAGATTGGTGGCTTTTTAAAGATTTGTACTACATTAAATTTAAAAAAAGTCTTCCCTCCCCCACAAAAATCTCTCAACAGCTTCCCAATGACAAAAGGGATTCCATGGGCGTCTCAGGACCTATGAGGGGGCAAATGTTTCGTTTCTGAATAGACATGGCAACAAATATTTTAAAATGATTCAGGATATTCGTTGAATATCCCTGAGTTGTCAGATATTCGTTGCTTCGTATTCTTAGGGTCCAGAGACCCCAAAGAATACAAAGCAATGAATGTAACGCTTTTATATTCGCCCCTTCATCTGCTTATGCTCCCGTGGGTCAGCTGTTGCTTGGGGGCATAAGCAGAGAGGGATTTTCCCTTCAGGCAGCTTGCTAAAGCCTGCCCAAAGGGAATCCCATTCTTGTTCTTAGGGGATGGCTTGGTTCCCCTTTCCTCCTCTTCCTATGCCCATGCAACATAGGAAGAGGAGGGAAGGGATCAAAGAGGGATCAAAGCGATCCCCCAGTCCCGCTACCTTTGCAAAGGCAGCGAGGCCATGGAATGGCTTCGCTCCAGCTTTCCCTCCTCTTCCTATACCACCGCGGAAGAGGAATCGCTTAGATCAGGCTACACTCCTCTTCCTATCCCTGCTGGGGCATAGGAAGAGGAGCAAAGGGTGACCCAATTGATCCCCCACCGCTGATGTCTTTGCTGTCTACAGGCTGTCTAAAAAAATTGACTCGACAAACCCAAGAATTGATTCATGGTTCGTCAGGCCACAGGGGAGCAATTTGTGGCTCATAGGTCATCAAACATTTTGGCGCTTCATCCCCATCTCTATTTCTGAACAATTGCCACAACTGATGACATCATCAATCCTATTTGGTGTAACTTATGGAATAGGATATCAGCCATTATATAATGATATTTGGAGGGCCACAATTTCCCTTTCCATGGTGTGTGCGTGTAGGTCACTAATGGGTCCAAGAGGACACTTTCATTTAAAAAAATATTAAAGATATTGAGTTGGTGTCATGGGACAAAGTGGAGCACAGCCCTCCAAGGTCCCAGGATGCAATCTCTGGTCCTCTCAAGATTGCTCACTCCTAATCTAGAAGCTTTGGGTGAGCAGGATCATCTATTAATATTAAGATGCATGAAATTTATCTGTACGAAACTTCTATTTCTGGCTTTGATGAGCACTGAACAACAATGCCTTCTAAACCCCCACAATTTCAGAGCAGCAATGACCATAAAGTCAGGTCTAGAAGCCCCAGCTCAGATATGATTCTTTTAAAAAAAATCAGGTCTTACATTTCATTAATGCACCTCCTCTGAAAAGTCATTTCATTTCATAATTTCTGAGGTGTTATACAAAGGTCTGTTTCACCAACAAGCAATCTAATCTCCTACCTTCCAGGGCCTCTGAAAAGTGCTTCTAGTGAAAACAGGTTGCCTATTTCTGCTTAATGAGAGAAATTCTAGACAGACAGACCTCTCAAGTTACTGGATATCAATAAACCAGATTTCTCTCTTTATCCCCATCCTTTCCCATTACTATTGGCAGAACTATTGCTTTGTTCTGCACCAGCAAAGGGGATCTTACAGTCGAATGGATCCACCACCGCTATTTAAATTTCTCCTCAAATCTATTGGGTTCTCAGTGATAACTACTGTGGCATTTATTTCCCAGTTTCGCCACAGACAACAATTACTTCTCGGGAACAACATTGAGCCAACAATAACTATAGAGAAATACTAAATAACAGGGATGTTGGCAAGTCTTTGGGTCTGTGGCCAAAGTCCGAGGCTTTGGTATCAACTCTTGAGTCCTAAGACCTAAATCCAAGTTCTTATTAAAAACAAGCTTTTCCCTCCAAAAAAAGGGAGGTGTGGTGAATTCCAAGTCACAAATTGCGTCCAGGTTATTGGGTTGGAGGGGGAACCAGGTCAAGCCACCGAAATTAAACACACGCACACATTCAAGTTCTGCTTGAAAAGGCCTTTTTTTTTTAATTGTGTGATTATATCAAAAGCCAGAGTGATAACTGCAAAAGGAAAAGAAATGATTTTATACACTGAGCAAAGATTATTATTATTTTTTCTTTTTAGATACTAAAGCCCAAAACGTAAGCAGTGCCAAAAGTTACCATAAACAGCCTACCATATGCACGCAGCTAACTTTAAGGATGTTCAAAAAAAAGCAGGTAGAAATGGTGGGGAAGAAAGGTACCTAGAAATCACTGAAGCCTAACCACTCACAGCTGCTGCTTCTGCCACCAATTTTGTAGCACAATCCCATCAACTTAAGCCTCTTCTACGTAGCTGGCAGGAACCCCTTTTATTTCTCACCCTCTGGGGAAATGTTGTTTCCTCATGTCACCAGAGCTCAGAAATGTCACATTTTTGGACTACGACTCCCCAAATCTTCTGGGTAATTCTAGGATTTGTGGTTCAAAAAATGAGGTTTCCAAGCTCTGGATGTTCGTACACAGGGAAGAGTTAGGTCAACCGACATATTTCTCTCTCCCAGCCAGATAAGTGTAATAACAAAATAAGATCTAGCAAATGGCTGAGAGAATGCTATGGAAGCAGCCCACTTCTGATTTAAAAAAAGTCTAATTATCTTAACATTTTAATTTGTATATTGTATACAAAATTTAACTTGCTCAATGCTCTGAAACAAATAAAGAGAAGAAAGTACAACGGGGGCATCAAAACTGGTATGGACATTTCTAGTGTATTCCACCTTAGTTTGTGACTCATCCACGTATATAGATACACAGAAAGAATTTTCACAGGGATTTTTGCAAATGCATACGTCTTCTCCAGCTCTATTTTGTCTTTTCGGGGAAGATGAAGCCTCAGAAATGCAGCACTGCAAAGAAGAAAAAAGCCAAAGTAATCGAGACCTATCCCAATGGAGCTACCAGTGACATGCTTTGCAAAACATCTGGGCTTGTACAGAACATTGCATTATTAGATGCTAATTAAAACTGCTGGATAGCTCATTGGTTTAGGTCTGGCTCTCGCTGCACAGCCAGACATTGGCAGTTCACTTCCACAGGGTGCTTCCTTGAGAGGGGCTAGACTTGATAACCCATAGGGTCCCTTCCAGTTCTGCATTTCTAAGATGATGATGATGATCAAAAGAATGAGTAGAAACTGCTGCATAACAATAAGCACATTTAGTGCTTTGTTTGAAGTGTTGCTTTCATTCGTCTTTGGTTTCTGTAAGCTAACCCTGAAGCTTAGCAATGTTTGCAATGAATTCTACACATTAGAAAAACGTGGAGCATGTGCAGAACCCTAAGAAAAACCTATCTTACAATATTAAAACACACAATATAAAAACTGGAAGCTTGAGGGAGAGAGACAGCAGCCCATCTTTTAGGCAGCCAGTTACTGAGAAACAGCCTGCTATAAGAAAAAAAATCTTATTACACTCCATTCCAATCCTACGCCACATTTCCTAGGGAAAAAGCCCTATCAAATCCAGTGAGTTTTAGAGCCGCATCTTTAATGCACTGTCCAATGTGGACTCTGACACAGTTAACAAAGCAAACAAACACATTTTGCATATTTTTCCATCTGAAGTTGGCAAGCTGAAACAGCTGTTTCCTATTTCTTTAAGGCAAAGCCAGCCCTGAATACTAATTACTCCTATTCTTCAAGCCCCCTATTACTTTTAAAGAAACAGTAACAGTGAAAATTGTAGTGTTCATGTCAACGCGCTCCACATTTGGAACACCTGGAGATGTTTTTTCACACAGATACAAGAATGACATTTACTGAGAGACCCCTCACACATTCCCAAAGCAAAATAACAACATGGGTAAAAGGCAGGCCAGTAATATAGTGGGCAGTTCACTGCAAATGTCATTCACAAAGATCATGCTGTGGAAGATACCCTGCAGTATTAATGTTTAAAAAATGATCCCTCGTACTGAAACGTGCACAGCTGTGGGGTGAAGCTAGGAATGCTAACACTTTCTCCCCAAATCCTCAACATGGAAGACCCTCAACTTCCCTCCTGCCACCACAATAACTGTATCACAACGGCCAACGCACCTTGGTGGTCATCACAGCCCTTGGTCTTCTTTGAACCTAAATAACAAGAGTAAGAAAATTAACTTATATCCTTGGGAGTCTTTAAGCATGCATTTCCCCCAGTCCAGCATGAAAAAAAAGAGGAAAAATCCCACATTCACTGACTTGGTTAATCCTCATTTGGGGGGGGGGAGCTGAGGTGGACTAGGTGATGTAATGTAAACAAGAAACATCTCCCTATAAACTTTCTTGGTTAGAATGGTATTTGAGGAAAAAATAATCTCTCACATTCAGCTACTTGAATCTCTCACCCAGCTAATCAGACCAGACCCAGATGGGGACATGGGAGTGAAATTAAAGCTAGGACCTCTACTAGGAAAGCCTTATTTGCATTCATTCTGTTACCTTCTCCCATAAAAAGACAGTTGTGGTTGCTGCAACTTCCTGCTGACACAGCATGTACGGTCTTGCCCTTTACGGTATCATTGACAGATTTGACTTCGAAGATCTCATACGGAGGGATCAATACTTCTTCCTCATTACGAAAAGAGGACACTTCATTTATATCAATCCCCTTGCAGGAAACCAAATTGAAGAAGGTTACTTTACCAAAAAAAGAGGCTACTTTCTTCTTTTCAGATGTGGAGGTGAACTGCCCGAAACGGAAATATTGGCCGATGGAAAAATTCACTTTGGTGCCCCTGTAGACTCGCTGGCAGCTGACCTCCCTCCTCCAGAACCTGGTTGCGTAGGTTAAAAGAAAATGCAAGGACTTGAAACGGTAGTCCGCATATTCCCTGGGTCCTTTTCCTGCTTTACGTGTGGCAGCATTGAACTCTGAATAGAATGGGGGGTCATTTTGTGTATATGTGCAGATGGCAACCTCAGAGAGCTCTTCCAAATTCCGAGGGTACATCCATGTCCTGTTGTACTGACAGTTGAGTAAGGCATTCTCCCAAGCTTCCTTATATGACTTAGATACACCCAGCTCAATTCGAAGAAGAGAGGTCAAATTTTCCTTCATGTTCTTCAGGCAGCCATCATACTGATCATCAAGGGAGGAGTGTGCCATGTTCAATACTGGATTGGATCTGCTTTTTGACATCTCACGATACCCATTCTGCAGCCAATTGATATGAAATATGAGTAATTCGGTCCTCTCAGAAAACATATAAACAAGTTATCTAGGCTTTCACGATTGGGATCTGATGGTTGCGGGTTTTTCGGGCTCTTTGGCCATGTTCTGAAGGTTGTTCTTCCTAACATTTCACCTGTCTCTGTGGCCAGCATCTTCAGAGGGCAGGAGTCAGAACTCTGTGCTATGGTGAGAGCAGAGCACAGACAGAGTTCTGAGCACAGAGCACCAGAGCACAGACAGAGTTCTGACTCCTGTCCTCTGAAGATGCCGGCCACAGAGACCGGCGAAATGTTAGGAAGAACAACCTTCAGGACACGGCCAATGAGCCCGGAGAAACCCACAACAACCAAGTTATCCATTCATAAAATAGAGTTCTTGCTATGTAAAAGCAAAGCAGAGGATATACAGTATCAAATCCACTCTTGAGTGAATGAGTTTAATTATCATCACCTTATGCCCTTGGTCTACTTTCCTAACATAGGGAAGATTTATTCTACAGATGTGTACATTGGGAGAAGGTGAATACAAGAATGTGTACTCCAGAGAACTTTTAGACTTTCTTATATTAGGGAAAATGTGCATGAACATAAATATGAATTTGTGCACAGACTGTTAACAAAACTCAGACTAATGCAGAAACAAGCTGAAACAAATTTAGTAAAGTCAGCAACTATGGAAAACCAGATAGAATTGCGTATCCTCAGCAAAAATCATAGGACCATGGATTAATTGAGTTGAAAGAGGCTTATAAAGCTGTTGAGTCTCAATGCAGAAAGCTAGATCAAAGCAGATCTGACAATTTTCTCTTGAATGCCATTATGTATTAATGGCATCCTCTAGGCATAACATCCCATCGAAAGGCAAAAGTTTAGAAGCTGGTGATAGGACTTTGGGGTTCTTCATGAAAAGATTAACACAATGCTTTGCCAGCCTGAGCCATCTCCAGAAAAGATTCCAATCTTTCACATTTCCCTATTACTCTAATCATAGGAGATTTTCTTCTCTCTAAATTCAGTATTTCTTCTCAATATTTATCCCCACTGGAGGAAACCCATCGAAGCAATGGAACTAACATAAGTGGTGAGTTCCCAAGTCTCCTTGATGCAGTGGATCTACTCCACTTAAACTTAACAAATGGATTTAGCCCTGATAGTCCCATATGCAGCTTTCCCAAATTAATCCCTTTTTGTTAAAGGGGGAAGGAATAGTAGAACTTACCATTGCCACCCCTTGAGCAGGCCACACCAAGAAGGTAATTAAAAAAAGAGCAACACACTGACGTTCCTCCATCTGGATACCATGCATTGTGCTCACAGTTTGAGAGCAACTTTGTGAGACAGCCTAAGAGGTCTGGAGTACTTGATTCTAGAAGACTGCTTGAGAGCCCAGGCAAATTTAAAAGAAGAAGGTTGTCTAAAGCAACTGAAAACCTTTTTGCTTCACCCTTTGAGAGCAACCTCTTATTAGCATTCTTTTTGTAAGCCTTTAATGTGTATTGAACTTCTGGCCAATATGATAGGAAGCCACCCACAATTTGCCTCATGTGACAGCTGTTCACGAGATAACGAGACACATTCAAGATATGCATTGATAGATCCATGTTCTCATGTAGATGTTGTCCAATATTGGTTTGAGGGGCCAATATGATAGGAAGCCACCCACAATTTGCCTCATGTGACAGCTGTTCACGAGATAACGAGACACATTCAAGATATGCATTGATAGATCCATGTTCTCATGTAGATGTTGTCCAATATCTCACTGGTTTGAGGCATGTGTCTATATCATCTCTCTGTGGCATAAGAGAGTTCGTTTGTTCCATAACAACAGAGGCCAACTCCAGGTCACTGCAAGCAGATCAGTGATGAGATTTCAAAAATGGAAAAGTCCCACATAAAGTTACTATAGAACAGAGGTCCCCAACCGTCGGTCTGCGGCCCAGTGCCAGTCCATGGCCTTGGATAGTATAGAACAGAGGTCCCCAACCGTCGGTCTGGGGCCCATTGCCAGTCCGTGGCCTTGGATAGCATTTATTTATCCAACAAACACCAACAGAGCATGGACAGAGTTCCTACTCCAGTCCTCTGAAGATGCCAGCCACAGAGACTGCGAAACGTCAGGAAGAATAACCTTCAGAACACGGCCAAAGAGCCCGAAAAACCCACAACAACCAATAGTGATCTTATTTTTGGTGATATTGTTGCCTATGGCTTCTTCTTCTTCAACCACCTTCCCTTCACAGAACAGCCACATGGAGAGCAGGCAACTGTTCTCTGTAAAGAATCTTTCCTTCACGTTGTGCTTTTAACATTTGCAATTCATAATAAATCCTCGCAAGCAGAAAATTGTAAAGCAACACACTGTTTGAGTAATTCATAATAAATCCTCGCAAGCAGAAAATGGTAAACACACTGTTTGAGTAACCTAAAATAAACACAGCTTTTTCAAGTATGTTGGGTTCTCTACCACTTCTGTTGGAATCTTGTCACCACCACCTTGGCTGGCCAGGATTTCTGGGAGTTAAAGTCCAAGAACATCTGGAGGCCCAAGGTTGGAGACCACTGACCTAAAATGTACACGGCTTTTTCAAGTATGTTGGGTTCTCTGCCACTTCTGTTGGAATCTTTTTGCCCTGCTCCAGCATTTCACCTTTTTGAAGAGTTGGCAAGGTAAAAATCCTGTCCCTTATTGTGCAAGATGGAGCTCTTTTTGTTCCAGTGAGCTGGTCTTCCAGCAAGCGGAAGAGCAGAATGTACAGTAGATTATGGAACGCTGTAGGTAGAGTGCTGTAAAAGATATGGGACTGTGACTTTTATTTTGTTTCTCTTGCCTTTACTTTATCGTTGGATATATAGGCTAAAATCCTCTTGCTTAATGTAGTGGGTCGGAACTAGAGTAGGCACTGAACTTAAGATGAAAAGAGGGGAAATCCATTCAATGGGACTGTGACTTTTATTTTGTTTCTCTTGCCTTTACTTTATCGTTGGATATATAGGCTAAAATCCTCTTGCTTAATGTAGTGGGTCGGAACTAGAGTAGGCACTGAACTTAAGATGAAAAGAGGGGAGATCTATTCAAATATTTTTATGCTATTTGGGGTAGATTTATTGAATTTGTATTAGTGAAAGGAAAAGGGAAAGCCTCTAAACAAGAAGACAATTTTGGAAAAGAGGTTAGTATTAAAAGTATTGCTCCAAAGGATCCCGTGGGTATGGGGGTGCACTGTGGTTTAGATTGTATTAGTAAGTGTTTTGTATTCTTGTATTTGTTTTTGTTTTGGAAATTTAAAAAATAAATTTTAAAAAAAGAACTAGAGTAGGCCCATTGAATCAGTTGGGATTTAGTTTAGTGAAAGGAAAGGGGAAAGCCTCTAAACAACAATCAATACAATTTTGGAAAAGAGGTTTGTATTAAAAGTATTGCTCCAAAAGGTCCTGTGGGTATGGGGGTGCACTGTGGTTTAGATTGTATTAGTAAGTGTTTTGTATTCTTGTATTTGTTTTGGAAATTTTAAAAATAAAATTTAAAAAAAGAACTAGAGTAGGCCCACTGAATCAGTTGGGATTTGGTGAGTCGATTCCTCTGTAAATGCAATTGATTCAATGGGCCTAACTCTACTTTCTTATTTCCAGAAGCCTTCACCACTAGCTGTGCTGGCCAGGATTTCTCAGCGTTGTAGTCCCAGGACATCTGGGGACCCGAGATTGAGAACCACTGTTCTCAGGTCATGCAGAAGAACCACATAGGCAATTGTATCCTTAGCTGAATGAGTTTTTGATGCACCATTTTTGTATTTGCAGGACATCTTCACTCCCTATTTTTGTCTCCTGCATCAATCCCTTCAATGTTTGGTTCATTTTGAGGACAACATTTTACAAATCCTATAGTCTTTTCTATAATTTTGACTTCTGCTATTTTATCTCCTTGCTTTATGACTTTTCATATATTCCAAAAGTTTGGAGCTGTCAACAGAAGAAGAAGCATGAGTTAAAATGAGTCACAGGTTTCTGAAATATCAGATAATTTTTGCTATTTATCTCTAACTTTAGATAAGAGGAACCACCAGTCATTTGTTTAAACTGTCTGTGTTTTATTATGTTTCCTTTTTTAAAAAAAAATTGAACTGGTTGGCATAGAGATTCAAATGGATAACCATATATAGAATGAAACTGTGATATATCGCAAATGTCATGCTTAGTATTTTATACCTCCTTAGAATTTGCTTATCTGGTTTGTCCTGTAATGTTCCTGTTTACAAAGATAATAGTTCTAGTGAGTACAGGAAATGTATTAAATACAAAAATGATACCAAGCTATTTCAAGTATCTGGTTCTTGGTTAGAATAAATCCTAGCTTAGGATTCTTCTTTTTTCTGTTTGCTCAAAAGGTCTGTGTCCTGCAACAGTTACATAAACTGTAAAAGCACTCTTAGCTATAATATACAGCTGAGATTAAGGGAATGTTTAACCTGCTTTTATACTGAATTAAGAGTCATTTGGTATGTATACACAGTAGAGATGGAGATACAGTATTTGTATTGGTAAATGGATACGAATATTCCTGTCCCAGCTGCACCTAATGTGGGTCTGGCCCCTGGAACCAACTGTTCCACTCATGTATCCTGGCACCATGAAGGTCCCGCTTTTCCCACCAATTGCAGCAGTAGTTCCACCATCTCCCTGCTCGGCTGGCCACTCAGCAGCTGTGCAGGGAGGCTTGTCCTCCCACCCCTTGCTTGGAGTGGCTGGCTGAGCAGCGAGACAGCAGAACTACTGCTGAAATTGGTGGGAAGAGTGGGAACTTCACAACGCTGGGACACGTGAGTGGACAGGCTGGATCCAGGGGCCAGACCTACATTAGGTGCGGTTGGAACAGGGATATTCATATTCGTTTACGAATATAAGTACTGTATCCCCATCTCTAACACAAAACTATCAAGCAGATTTTTTTGAATAACCAGTTGTTGCCAGAGTGAGAAACGCAGGCTGGTGGCATGGCAAGAAAAGGCCAGAGATGGCATGGAGGTTACCACATGGCACTTAGAAGGCCAAGATGATGATGAGGGGTTTCCCTCATCACTGGCTTTCTATTAGCCAGCAGGGAAGGATTTCTCTCCTGCTGGCCTTTAACTGGCTAACGCCAAAATTTGATTTCAGCTGGAATTCGACTGCTTCCCCTCCACCCAGTACTGCTGTTCTGTGTATTCATCCTCTTCAGATTAAGTAGTATGTCTTCCTTTTGCCTCAGACAAGAATTTTGCTGCAGATCAGACATTCCATGCTATTCTGCAAGGATAGATGTCTTTAGAAAATATAACATGAAAATCATCCAAGCTTACTCTTTCATCTTCCAAAAAATCTTTCCGAAGAGGCTGATTTTGCTTCAAATACAAATATCTAAGCATTTCTCAAGCTATATTATCCATACAAAATTGGACATTTGTAATTTTCAGTTGTGTGAATGTTCCATCTGCATGAAACATGAAATTCAGTTTCATCTCCAAGTTGTACAGGAGATGAAACTGAAGTTTTTATTAGCATTCACTCAGTGTGGTTTCTGCAGTGCTATGGGAAAATAGTGAAGGGGTGTTGGCTCTGTACAGAGCAGTGGTTCCTAAAATTGAGCTCTTGCCTTGTGCTTCCAAGAAAGCAAAACTATTATGTTTTGTTTTTTGCTAGGGTCTCTCGTAGCTGTACTCTGAAACTCCTGAAGCCCACATATGACAACTACCTATGGTCTTCTCAGAAAGTAACTTCATGTTTCTTTTAAAATGTTTGTCTTGTATGTGGCATTTAGGCCCAGAATCCCTCAGTTAGCCCTCATTGCAAAGCTTTGCTTTTCCGTCTACAACGGATCAACAGCCTGGCAGCTCAACGGTTTAACCCGCAGCACCACCCATGACCCACAGAGACAGTAAGCTAATGCAAATAGCTGCTAGAGAGATACAGTATAATAGGATATCATTACTACTCGTGCTGGCAAGCCTCCTCATGACACTAGACTGGCCACTGTTTGGAATAGTACACTGGGTAAGACTATTCATCCAATCCAGTACAGTGCATTTTATGTCCCTTAAAAATATCTATTTCTCTCTTGTTCATCAAGTCGAACTCATTAATCCCATTGGGATGCACCAGTTCTAGGTCTGATGTCTATGTTGGCTTGGCTAACAATGCCCTTTGGAGGTTGGTTTAGTTAGTTAGCATCCAGATGCCTTCCAGCATCCTCCCCAGGTTAATTGTCTCCATAGACATCTGTTTTCTAAGGACATACATTGACAAAGGATTGACCTTCCTGCTACGACCAAAGCAAGAAGAACTTCCCATCCAGAGCTGTGAATGGGACAAGGCAGCTGCAAAGAAGGTAAAATTCTGCCTTCTAGAATACAGTATCTGCTACTCTGTTCTCTCTTCTAGCTAAGAAGAGAAGACAGCTTTCCTTGTTTGCACTTCCTAACTCAATAGAATAGGAATGAAACAAGAATATTAGATGTCAATTATAAGTTCTGGGGCCACCCACTTACCTGGTGTAAACACCATTAAACTCTGTGGCCAAAATCCTGTTCAAAGTCCTAACTTGAGTAGACCCACTGCATTAATGGAAGGTGTATAAATGTTGATTTAATATTCAGCAACTGCTTCAATGAGTTTCCTCTAGTTGAGACTAGTGATATGATTTAAACCTGTAAGAATAACCTTTGAGTAGAAACTGCGTTAGGAAAGTTTTTAATTCTATTGTCTTATGGATATAATGTTTTCTTCTATTTTCTATGATCCGGGGAAAATAAATTTCTCTATCTATATGTGGTACAGCAGAAGCAGATCAGGCTCAGAGTAAGAGGTGAAAATAAGGCTCAGACACATTTATCTATTTGCTTGCTTGCTTCTTTAATACCCCACCTTTCTCCAGGCGGCTTACACAATGGTGGTAAGTAGTATTAAAACTCAGTCAAAGTTAATAACATATTAAAGCAACCACTGATTTTAAAACTTATAAAACCACAGCAGAAAAAAGGTTTTCTGTAAAGACCACAGTATCATAGCATATAATTAATCTTCTGACTATCTTACTTTGCAGGAGTTCTTTATCACTGAAATAATATCTAGAAATCAATTTCAAGTAGAACATCTTCACCATTGTGAAGAATGGAATGCATGAAAGTTTAATACCTTTTAGACTTCAGAGACCATAGAATTAAACCGTTTTTATCAGTCAGCTTTTCAAGTATCTTGGAGGGTTAGTGATACATGCCTTTTATGTTCCAGAGTCAGGATCTCACTTATTCATATTCTTTTCTAACTTTCTCATCCAATTGTTATGAGGTACTATTGATCAGTTTTCTCAGACATTTATGTGCATTCAGCTACTAAAAACCAGTTTAAGCACAATAGTGATACTTTGTGGTATCAACTGGTACAACAAGTGTGGTCTGCTGTATATGTTGTTCTGATTTCTCCAACACAGTGCTGTCCAGATGTGTTGAGTTACGACCTCCATCATGCTGAAGAGGGACAATGGAGTTCAACACATCTAGAAGACAGCAAAATGCGGGAGGTAACCAATTTGAAAAAGGCAGTGTTTCACCAACCAAACCTTGGTGACTCTTTGTAGATCAATAGTTCTGAATCTCTGACCCATCAGATTTTTAGACTTCAACTACCAGAAGTTTCAGCCAATAATAATGCATTTCAAAAGTTGAAGCTCAATGTATTTGGTGGCCCAAACATAGAAGACTACTTTTTTAACAAATAAATAAGCCTTTGAGAATATAAATAAATCTATATTACCTATAATTATCCATCTTGCTAAATGTCCCTCTTTCCACTCCCTCTAAAACAGTTTTTTAAAAAGTCATAACATATTGTTAATAATTGTGTGATTTCATTTATTGTGCATTGTTTTATTCCATTTGATTTTAGAGACTGTTGTAATCTGATCTTACGTTCCATCTCCTTTTGTTTTATGGGAGATGGTTTGCTCTGCTTCTCAGTGTGTTGTGCTCTTGGTTATATTTTTACCTCTGCATGACAGGAATGGAGAAGCGCTTGCTTCATTTGCCCTCTCAGTGCATGAACTGAAATGGAGGCCTTCTTCAATATTTGCACATTTTCAAATTTTGTATTGCCATTGTCCATTTAAAACATATGCATTGAATGCATGTTCAATGCATGAAACAATGTCCTAATATGCATTAGAGTAAGGAAATCTGCTAGCAAACATCTGTATATTCAACTATATTGAAATTCTGATCAAGAATCTGCATAGTGAATACATATTTTCATCAGGATTTCCTTTTTTAATAATAATAATAAATTAAACTGATCCAGAAAAAGATGAAATCATATGAGAAGGCTCAAGATTAAAAACACAGCCCTCTTTGCTGCATTCTTGATTCTTCTGCCAGTCGTCTTCCTTGTTTCTGCCTGTGACTAGAACAATTGATAAATACTCTGCCTCAGTTAGAAAACCTCATGCAAAGTCACCTGATCCAAATTTCCTTGCCAAAAGAGAGTGCCCTATTACACATTTCTTGATGGATATTCAGAACACTTTGGAACAGAATCGGTTCATCAATACTTTTAGATCATCATGTTCAAGTATAGATGCAACCAGACCCTTCTTTCAGTTAGGAAACCAGTAGCTTCAGGAAGCTGGTTCTGATATCATGAAAGGCAATAATAGGTAGCTATTTATTGCTACTGTATTTGCACACTTATACTGTTAAGAAACGGTAGGAAGATTTTCTGCCTCAGATGCGCAAATCACTTTTGGTGACAGGCATAGCTTGGGAATAACCAGTTACAGATCATTCTCTTGGTTTTCCTATAACATAGTTACATGAAGATAGTTACCTGAAGGAGTTCCTTTTTTCAGTAACCCTGTTTCTAAAAACATTATGTTACTTGGGACCTAACGTCAGTCATTTGCTGTTTATCTATAACTGTTAAAGCACTTTTACAGTTGTGGGGAATATGCTTACTAAAGGGTGAGGAGGAATATCACATGCTTGTTTATGCTGTCATGTGCGTGAGTGTATCCGTGTGTCCATGAGTGCTTGCTTGCATGCTCCCTCCCTCGCTCCCTCGCTCGTTTGTTTGTTTTTGCTTGTTTGTTTGTTTGTTATACCACCTTATTAGTGCCAGAACACTGTTCTGGACAGTTTAACAAATAAATACTAATAGAAGTATTACTAATAATAATCCTTATTAGTAGTAAGTGGAGAGCATCCTAGACTCAAATGCCCAACTCACATCTGCAGATGAATGCTGAGCAAACCAGACCCTGGAAGAACCGAAGCACAGTGGAAGAGTTCATCTTGTTGGGATTCCAAGAACACAGTATCTTCCTCTTTCTCACCTTTCTGGGCATCTATTTGGCTATTTTGTTGGGCAACGGACTGATTGTGGTGGTGACAACGTGGGACTCTGCCTTGCACACCCCCATGTACTTTTTTCTGCGCAGCCTCTCAGGACTGGAGATGTGTTACACCTCAGTCACCCTTCCTAAGATGATGGCTAACCTGCTCTCAGGGGACCTCTCCATCTCCTTCCCAGCCTGTGCTACACAGATGTTCTTCATCCTCTTTCTAGGGGGCACAGAATGCTTCCTGTTGGCAGCCATGGCTTATGACCGCTATCTCGCCATCTGCCTTCCTCTCCACTACATGAGACTCATGAGCCGTAAGGTGAGCGTAGGGCTGGTGGCCAGCTCCTTTGCCATCAGCCTCCCTATGCAGCTGCTACAAGTTGGGCTGATCTTCTCCTTGCCTTTCTGTGGACCCAAGATTGACCACTTCTTCTGTGACATCCCAGTGGTACTCAGCTTGGCGTGTGCTGACCTATATGCCAATGAGGTGGCTGTGTATACAGAAAACATCCTTTTTGTTATTGTGCCCTTTGTGCTTATCTTGACTTCTTATGCATACATCACCAGAACCATTCTGCGCATGCCAGCAGGCACTGGCCAGCAGAAGGCCTTTTCTACCTGCTCATCCCACCTCACGGTGGTCAGTCTCTTCTATGGATCGGCGATGCTTGTTTATCTTCATCCACAAACCCCTGATTCTGTGAAGTCTGACAAAGTCCTCTCCCTGCTATACACAGTTATTATTCCTCTGTGCAACCCTTTAATCTATACTCTGAGGAACAGGGAGGTGAAATCCAGCCTTAGTAGATTGATGGGCAGGAAGAAACGATCTGAGGTGAGCACAGGATGAGATGTGTCCACCAAGGAATTTCAGTCCAGGTTTCCCTTGTCCTCCTCTTCCTCTGACCAAAAAAAGCACCATTGAATGTATGAGGGATCTTAAAAGAGCTGCTCCATATGGAAATATTGGCAGGACCAATAAGGAGTCACTTAATAAATGAAAAGTTTCCCACCCATCACCCTGATTACATTGTTGTCCACAATGGTTTCCACCATGGTTTGAATTTGTAGATGTGCTTTGAAGTCCTAAAACCATGTCATCCTTTTTCCTTATTTTTTTTTTCAGTCTTTAAACTAGCTTTGGAACATAAGAGTAAAAGCAGAATATTTTACTGATGTTTCAGGGATGTCTCTCATTTTCTCCCAACACTTTAAACCTCTACTCTATGGCTTTGAAAAAAAAATATGATACTAGTGTCACGTTCTCTCGGGTTTTGCACTGATATGTGGCTATTTGAAGATGGAGATCTGGGAAACTCATTCAGAGCTGTGCCATCACCCATTAAATAAACACACTGAAATGTAGTAGCCTGTTCATTTCTTGCACAACAATTGTCCATACTAGTGACTGAATGTTTTGCTTCTGTTGAATCAACAACATAGCAGTCCTGTTGTGCTATTACCTTTGTGGAGGGGAGCCCAGATTTGCTCCCAGTTCAGATTCTTCAGTTAAATTCTGTAACATACCAATTATATATTTATACAAAAAAAACCCCAACCTATCTGATGGTCCATGTCTCCCTTTATGAGCCTGCCTAGGTGTTATCATCATCAGGAGAGGCCTTTCTCTCAGTCCTACCACCTTTGCAAATGTGTTTGGTGGGGACACAGGAGAAAACGTTCTCTGTCACTTCACCCAGACTCTAGAACTCCCTCCCACAGGAAGCCAGGCTGTAGGTTTTAATTGGATCATTGCTTTGAATGTGTTTTTGGTGTTGATTTTGTTTATCATTTTAATGTGTTTTTTAATTCTTCTTTAATATTTGTGTATTTAATGCTTTTATTTTTAAAATGTTGCCTTTTAATGGTGCAAGACTCCTTGGATCCTTTTTTAAGGAGAAAGGCGGGGTAAACATGTTTCAGATAGGCCAGTACATTATACAAGCATTTTTTTAAAAAAATGCAGCTCCCACTTGTTTGGTAGTAATTATGTAAGTAATATTTTTGCATATACTGTATTTAAGGAGAAAGGCGGGGTAAACATGTTTCAGATAGGCCAGTACATTATACAAGCATTTTTTAAAAAAAATGCAGCACCCACTTGTTTGGTAGTAATTATTTATGTAATATTTTTGCATATACTCTATAGTAAGCGTGGAGTAAATTACAAGTGGGTCCCAAAAAATTGAATACCTTTTCAGCTTTCCCAAGCAAAAGCAAGTCTTTCTCAACGTGTGTTGAATCATTCTGAGCACCAGAGGGTGCTGTAAAGCAGTTGAACGAAAAGAGCCGCTGCCCTTCTCCCTCTGCAAGATTGAGCCGTTGGAACTTACTATGTCCCCGCAGAAAAATATTCGGGAATGTTGGGTTATGATCTTTATAGAGACGTGGCTTGACTCTTCCATCCCAGGGGAGGTAATAGAACTACACAAGGATGCAGAGTACATCGAGCAGACAGGACTATTGAATCTGGGAAAAGCAGAGGTGGAGGGGTTTGTGCTTACACAATCAATAACTGGAGCATGGATGTTAAAATAATGGATATTCGCTGTTCTCCTGATTTGGAGTATTTGGCAGTGAAATGCGGCCCCTTTTACCTGCCTTAAGATTTTAATGTTGTTGGTATAACTGCAATATATATATACCTCCTGATGCTAACATAACCACAGCTATGAGTCGTTTGTTAACTTCTTTCAGCAAACAGCAGCAGGCCTACCCAGATGGAGTGCTGGTGGTAGCAGGTGATTTCAATCAAGCCAATTTAAAGACTGTCCTCCCTAAGTTTTATCAGTATGTAGACTGTCCCAGTAGAGGGGAAAATACCTTGGATCAGGTATATAGTAACATCATGCATGGATATAAGACGAAGCCATTGCCTAGTTTGGGACAGTCAGATCATATATCTCTGTTTCTGATCCCATCATACGGATCTGTTGTTAACAGAATCAGACCATCAACTAGAGAAGTACAAGTGTGGCCAGTGGGTGCATCTGAGCAACTTCAAGATTGCTTTAGGAGCACTGAATGGGCACTGTTCGAGGAGGACAATGTTGATACTTATACCTCGACAGTACTGTTTTATATCAAAAGCTGTATCAATGTTGTTACTACCACCAGACAACTACAAGTGTTCTCTAATAACAAACTTTGGCTAAATAGAGAAGTGTGCCTTTTACTGAAAGCCAGAAATGCTGCTTTTCATTCTGGTGATGTGCTACAACAGAGGTCCCCAACCCCCCGTCTGTGGCCCGGTGCTGGTCCGTGGCCTGAGCTGAAGCAGGCCGCAGAGACAGACTTCCCGCCCCCTGCGTACAAACTCACCCCTGCACAGCTGATTTGCACATGCTGTGCACTCCCATGTGAGTGCCACATTGCCATTTGTGCATGCGCACAGGCACATGCGCAACCCATGTGGGCCCCACGCCGCAGTTTGTGCATGCGCATGAGTGAGCGAGCGTGCATAAGCACCGCCCACTGTTTGTACACACACATGCTCATTCACACTCACTCGTTCGCACATGCCCATGAGCATGGGGGTGCCCCGCCTTCCCCAGCCAGTCTGCAGAGTGAAAAAGGTTGGGGAACCTGTTGTTTTTAGATGCTATTGTTTGGAGACTGCTTTGTGAAAAAAACTTTTGGAGGTCGCTTGACCGTCAGACCGGACCTTGATGGAAGTCATTCATGATCATTGTTGTTGAAGAGTACATAGCATGGTTTCTGGGTCCCTCGTTTGACCAGTTCTGGTGATGCAGGTAAAATACATATTCTTGGATTTTGTTTTATATTTTGACCATGCTAGGTATAGTGTTCACAATTATCCTGATTTTTCAGAATTTGCGAGGGGGGCTTGTAACCATGCTGATATCAAGTCACAGCCAGCTGAACTCACACACCTACTCACACAAGCAGGAGAATACATTATAAGTAGCTGAAATAACCAAAGCCTCCCAATATAATAACAATATACGTGGGCACATTCAGAGTCAACACCTCTGGAGTAAAACATTAATGATGTTGTACTCTCTATTACCTCAAAAGATGATGCACGTGATTGTGGAATTCATAGAATCATAAAATAATTGAATTGGAAAGAATGTATAAGGCCATGGAGTCCAACACCCTGCTCAAGGATGTAATCCAAATCAAAGCAGATCTGA